CGCTCGAGACCCGCGACATCTCGTAAATTAACGTGATAAATAAACCTTGAATGGGCAAAGAGTTTTAACGTGTCGCCGATATATGTACAAACTTCGAATTTGCGCGCTACGCGATTAACAGATATTTAAATATAAAATTATAACTCTACTTGCTAATTAAATGCGTCGCGAGACGGCGTCGATCCGCGCATTTGTGACGTCCCGTTAATGAACGTCATTGATGAAAAATTTGAAAAGCGGCATCTGCAATTCCTATACGCGCGATACGATTTAAGTTATGAAGTTTACGCTAATTCTCAAATCACGCTAATTAAAGTGAAAATGTGCAATATCGAAATTCCGCGAAATATTGATAAACTACAGTTTTTATGTACCACACACAGTTTTTAGTTATTTAAATCACTGATGTGGTCAATAATCGTATTCCGCGCTTTCAATTCGAAACTATAGTAAGCAAATTCTATGTACAAAAGTGCAGAAGAAAAGATTTGAAGTGCGGTGCGTGATTCATTCAAAGAGATAACGATTACGTGAATAGCGCAATGAAGCAATTAAGTAATTTATGAGACTCCAAGATACATCGGGCGAGATATCTACTTCGAGAGACAGCCGTCGCCTCGAGAAACTTACGAATCGTTATAGGTTTAAGAATTGATTAATCGCACGGATTGATTAATTATAAGACGCGATCACGTTTAGGGCGCCTCGTGATATTTTTTCCGATCAACGCGATATCTACCGAACGTTGCCTACTGCCCGAGTCTCACTTCACGAATACATACCAGCATTGTGAATACATACAATACATGTGCCAGAATAATAAAAAGTCGACAGAGGATTAAAAATTATACAAATATTTTCTAGGCTCTATTCATTTCCGAGCCTAGTCATTTCAAGGCAATCGATTTTAACATTAGTTCATTTGTAGTATATATTTTTATATTCTTAATATTTAATATTTTAATTTTTTCTGTAATAATTGTAGGAATAAATAAATTCCTACAATTATTATAGAAAAAAATAGAAATAAATATTCAGATATTTCATGAGATTAATACGGAACACTTTACCGTTACATTAATTATCATTTTAAACACTGTAAAAAAGTTTTGTAAAATTACAACTATTATAGTGGGTAATTTTGAGACCCACTATAATAGGTGTAAATTTCCACGCATTTGTAATTTTTGTAATTGTAATACAAAATTACTTTAATTAGTTTTTCCTTCCGTACTGCAAAATTACAAATGCGTGGACACCTATTATAGTGAATCTCAAAATTACCCACTATAATAGTTGTAATTTTACAAAATTTTTTTACAGTAAATAAAGGATTTTGATGTAAAACGTCTAATAAATAATTGTTAGAAAAAGATTCCATGATTCTTTTATAACATCTCATTTCTCATACGTACATTCTATTCACGTTTGTAATATAGTTTTGATAAATCCATTGCCTTGACATTGAAATAAAAAAATCACTCACCAGCCGATGCGCAACAGCGGAGTTGTAAGTCGTAAAACCCTGCGTTGATCTGTAACAGAAAAATATTTTTACATTAAAGCAGTAGCTAAGATAATCAATACTTTAAGTAAATAATTATCGCGCCCGTTAAAATGTCATTTTAACATATCTGATTTTAAAATGCTAGTGCGCGAAACGATCGCGGCCGAAGCGAGCGGTTGCATATTTCCGTATTAACTCGTAGAGTAATTAATCCCCGAAAAACTGCAAGTAATATTACGATCGCAATATTACGACCGAATAAGAGAGAGACGCGACGTAATATATCTCTTCTCACATTCTCACATCTGCCGGAGATCGAACGGATCGAACTCCGATCGAAATTGCACCGGAGTAAACCATAAACGATATTGTACGAATAATGATTCGAGTATATAATGAGCGAATCACGCGCTTGAGAAAGGAATCCGTCACGGGACAGCAAAATAACGAACGAATAATAATTACTCACCTCACGGTTGCTCCGCCGTCGCCCGATGCCTCCCAGGCCCCCTCCTCCTCTCCTCGCTCCTTCTCCGTTGTCGCATCTCCGTCGACGCACTCACTCGCGACGTTCACTCGCTCACTCACGCGAAAATATCGTCACTTATGATCGCGCGACACTTTGCACGGCACTTCCGGTATTAATCTCGCGACGCGGCGCGTACTTAATTACACGGCGACGGAAGAATTACGGCGGAGAAGCTTGGAGAAGCGTACGAACAAAGCTGTACGATCCGCTCGACGCCCGTCGTCGCCCATAATGCCCCGCAGGTAGATGGCGGACAGAATTTCGTAAATCGCGCGGCCAACTTCACTCGCCACTCTCGCAACCGGAGCAACCGTCGCGATGACGCTGCACTTGCCCCTTATGAGGCGATTTTCGTTGACAATTAAATCATCGATTTATGAACAGTCTATCCTCCATGATCGCCAGATATCGAAACACAATTAAATATAAAGTTAAACGCGTACGACGTTAATAGAGACTGCGATCGCTAATAATTAAATACGTCGCGGCGTCACTCGACTTAAGAATTCGCTCGTATCCTTTACCCGTGTTCCGAAAACGACGCAACTTCATGCAGAAGTCGTGCGACACGACGCGATCAAGTTAACGGTTGAGAAAAGCGAGACCATTAACGAATGCGATATACCTCGGCATCCGTATCAGTTCCGCGAAGCACATGTATTCGATATACATATCACATACTCACATACATCGCATATATCACAGTTTTTCGTAATCTCAACCGCCACGCAGGTACATACGTTACTCCGCGCCGTGACCTGCGATCCGAGGGCAATGACGTCACAGTGCTGGGTCGCGGTGCCGCGGAGCAACTTGAATAGTGGGGGTAGTGGGGGTAGGCAACTAGCGCGGCGCTCGTTCGACGCACGTAGTTATTTTTCCAACTCCGCGCTCCGTCTCCACCACCACGTCCACCACTCAGGTTGCCGCGAGCCGTTGGCGTCACGCGATTCACGCGCCGCGGCCCTACCTTAGCATAACTTTTCTCGGGATTCGCTTCGTGCATGAAAACACGTAACGCCGCGTGACGGTTAAAGGGCCATCTACAATGAGTCGCAGTCGCAAGAGTCGTAAGAAATTGACCAATCACAGTTCGTTATTCTTCTACCGCAAGGAGAATAATAGACTGTGATTAGTCAATTTTTTAAGACTCTTACGACTGCGACTCATTGTAGATAGCCCTTAAATGTAATACTTGGACTGACACAATTTATGAAACGTGTATAAAGAGAATTAAAACAAAATCGTTTTTAATGCACTATTATAATTATACAATCTAAATATCGCATGAACGTATTATAATTTTGTGTAATTATTAATACTATGATTTTTATGTCATAAAATATGTTAAATATTGACCTGTAAACTGAGAAAAATATTATCTTAACCAATAACAATTTCTTGTATTTTTCTTCTTAGAGACTGATAAAGTGTTAAAAATGAATATAATTTTGAGAACAGGGTTTAAAGAGATTACTCATTCAATTGATTTTCATCCTCAAGCCATTGTAAAAGGGAAAAAATTAGCTGTATCTCATGTTAAAAGAGTCGAAGAAAGATACACAAATGACACTGGTATTTTGATAACAGGTAGTGTCGTACGTCAAACTTCTGTCACTTTGAATTAAAATATATATACGTTGTTACGTATTTATTTTGTGGCAATTTCGATTCGGTATATTGACGCGATTACATTCACAGAAAATATTAAACAAATTATAGATAATAATTTACAATTTAATAGCTAATTAATTAATAACAGTAGAAATAATAAAGCATTTCATAGATATTAATTAATGATATTTCATGTGTTATTTTATGTTAAAGAACAATCGAATAACATCTTCATTTCTATTATCTAAAAATGCATCTACGCGATTTCTTCTCCCATCAACTGTAACTTAAATGAACCTCGTAGATGCGTCTTCGATAATAAGTAGTGAAATTTTCGCTTATTCATCATTAAGTACTGTGAATTAATTTATCAAATTTCTAACGTGTCATTTATCTAAACCGTATCTTTTATCGTCAAGAATAGCTATATCATTTTTATTCTCAGCGATTTCTACGCCTTGCTCCTCTAGTATATTTTTCTGTTAGTGGTTTCTAAAACAAATCTTAATGTTTACAGAGTTGCAAGGAGCAAACGTGCGCTTCGATAGACAATGGGCCGCATTGAAAGGAGTCGGCAAATGACTCTTGTCAACGTGAGAGCTTCAAGTTGTCGCAATCGACGGCCGGTTGGCCCTCGACCCCCATCGTTCTGCCTCTCGTCACTACTTGACGCTCCTACGTTTCTATTCACCCTTCCTTCATTTTGTCTCAATTTAATTGACACGCTTTTCGCGAAACTTCTCGTCGCCTTCTCTCCTGTGACATCAAAGGAATTTTTAAACGGTATGTAAAAACAGAGTTTTTTTATTAAAATTTTTACGAGCTTTTTTAACTCTGTTTTATATGCATAAAATTTTAACTTTATTCCTTATCAGATAAATAAAAAGAGGCAATAAGAGCCAGGAGCGGTAATTGGTGCGCAATAATTTATATTCTCAATCTTTATCATCTCAGTCAATCTTTATCATCTCATCTCTATATCATCAATATTTTATGTATTATGTATTATGAATAAAATCAATATTTTATGTATTGATTGAGAAGGCGCGCACCAGTTATCGTGCCTGGCTCTTATCGTCTCTTTATTTATCTGATTTATTTAAGAGAGCTTTTATACACTTTATTTAATTCATTCTTTATCCTAAAAAAAAAACTTTGTTCCTCAGATGTGACAGAATGAAGTTGTTCGTCTTCTTCTCTTCGTCCTCGGCTACTTCCACCTACTCCCACGACAATCCATCTAAGCAACAGCGACACCGACGAACCAACGACACGAATGAGGTGTGCGCGAATCCCCCCACCTTTTTCGCTACGGATGACCTCCTCGTGGTCGCGTTCGAACAGCTTCGCAGGGATAAATGTACACTTGACGTCGTCCACGAGGCTTTTAGCGTCGGCAGAACGAGACCGTCGCTCGTGTTAGTCGTGCTCGATCGGTGGAACGGAATTTCGTACGACGACGACGACGGAGAAGTTGTTGCGTGAACCAGCAATTGATCAATGGACCATCGTAAGTGATCATTATCAAGGATTGAAACGAATTTTACTTTCGTGGAGTTCGTCTTCGGTGGAACCGACGGGATGTTGGACCGCATCAATGGCAACTTCGTAAGTCATCGTCGATACCAGGGTGACTGTCTTCTACAGTGATTTTAATGCTAGAAGGACGAAGATCTTTCATTATTATTTTAATAAATGCTGAATTAATAAATAGCGTGATCTTTATATCTCAGAAAATCGCGTAATTCTAATTGGTGAAAAATCGCAAAATTTGAAGACTTTGATAAAAATTAAGTGACCTACGATTGAGATAAGAGAAGACTCTGTAACCAGCGAAATAATGAGTGTACTCCTTCTAGTGTTAATAATCGTGAATGTTTATCCAGATGAAATTTGTTTGTTTTCAAGTGTTGAAATTATCTCTTAAGTGGATTTTACATATTACGTTTATACCCTGTATTTCGTACTCGAATTAATATGGCGGTTATGGTTTATGGTATTTTGCATAAGAACGATCGTTAGAAAATATAATAGATGCAAGGTTTCTCGGCATTCATGAATCATCTCCATTCGTTAGATCATAATGCATGATACTTAAAGCATACCACAATTACATGTAACGATGACCTCGTTTGTACGCTCAT